CAAATTTTCAAAATGTGTAAAACAATCATCATGTTAATATGCGTTTATAGGTCAATAGCTGATTGTATAAATAATCATTTTAGTCAAATACATTTATACAGTACAACAATAATAGAACTTTTATGCATAATAAGTAATTGTAGTTATTTATTAACTTCATTAATTAGTCTTTGTCAATGTACATCTCAAAAGATAATGTGGGTTAGTCATTGTTGAGGTTTTTTACAAATTCTATTTCTTTTATGTGTTGTCATTTAAAATGCCTTTGTTGAATACATATAGTTACTAGTCCTTTGTTAATTGTGTTATCAAATCAGAATTAGCTTATGTTATCTTATTATTGTTTTGTTTATGTACATTTAATGTACTGATATTTTATGTAATTGTATGCCTGAGAAGGCCCATGATTGGTAATAAAACATTATTCTATTCTATTCTATTCTATTCTTTACCCGGCGGTACTTAATTGTCGATACACGTGATGAATAGTACGCGGGAACCAGAATACTACACGCCGTTATTGAACGGATATCGGTAAAAATATGCGGCACCAAAAAAAAAAAAAAAATGGTCGGCGAGAGCAAATAAAATTTTTTGGAGCGCAGCGTTTTTTTAGGGTCGGTCGGGAGACAGCAAACAAAGCTATTTTTAATTTTGGCCCAAAAGTATAGTAAGATGGATGTCATTGATTTTTTTTATCTGATATATAATTATAACATAGAATATCACTCTAAAGCAATACACAATGATAAGTTCCTCAAATGCAGTTATTTGATAGATCACAGTACATTGCTTTTCTTTTTATTTCTGAAATATCTGAAGGCCAACAGTTTTAAATTAAAATACTAGTAGTTTATCATCATGTGACTTGTTTCCTTTTATTAATTTGAAAGTTATTCTAAAAGAATGAAACATCCATTGGTTGACCTTTGTTTTCATACATTTTACTGATATTGATATGCTACGGAAAGTCATGATCTAGTTATACCTGCACGTACAGTATGTTACGGTGTGATACAGAATTTAGACCCAGTTTATTGTACTTACTTAACCTTCAGCTGTTCATGAGACCGGTAAGTATTAAATTTTACTGTGCATCTCTGCCAAAAAGAAAGTCATTTGTTTATAATATTTGTTTTGACATATTAGATTTATCTATGCGTTTTAACAAAAGTACCAGTTTGGTAAATATGTTTGTTAATTTTATACATGAATCAATATTATTACGAAATGTTTGTCGATTTGTACTTAAAATTTTCGTACCAAAGAATTGCAATATTGGGCCATCAAAGTATAGCAATATCGGGCCAATTGTTGGCAAACTGCATGATGTTTATGAAGTGCATATGAAGATTTACTGTCATTTTGATTGTATAAAGACAAAACACCCTGTCAAAATGATTATTATCTAGATCTACTAACCTTCAATTTTTTTCAAAATTCATAATTATCACAATTTATCAGTGATTTGATATCTTCTCAGTGAAATATATACCTTTCTTTTCAAAAGGTATTGGGTTTAAATATGGAAGTGGGCGAGTTGAGTAAAGTTTAAACAAGTTTCTTTTTTCTTTTCTTATTAACAATGATATTCAACTACAGACAAAAATATATATTTCACAATAATCATGTTTCACAATGATATCACAAAAGACAAAATGGGATGTGGGAATAATTGGACAAAAAGATAACGTGGCACTAATGTCCAGTTGCTTGTCACTTCAAAATATATCCCAGGTTATATGGATTAAATTTGGTACAATAAACATTTCTTTGAAACTTCCAGTCTTACATAATGTAGGGGAAAAATCCTGTTTGAAGGAATTAATAGAAAAAATTAAAAAATGTTTCATATACAATCAATAATATTATATTTCAGAATATGGCAAGTGGAAGGAGACTTCTGATACTGTTTGGCAGTCAAACTGGCACTGCTCAAGATGTTGCAGAGAAAATTTCAAGGGAGGCAAGGCGGAGACATTTTCTGCCAAAAGTTGCAGCCCTTGATTCTTATAATATTGTAAGAATCTTCATTATGTGTTTTTGTTACAATCTACTTATTCATTCTTGAAGAAATGTCATGATCCAAAACAAATTCAGATGAAATTCTTTTTAATGTTTATTATAACTACAAATTTAAATGTAAATATGTGAAGGTAGATTAAAAAAATTGGTTTAATATCTCATCAATGATTTCATCTAATATAGTAGTACTAGTATCATTACGCTTATTGTTGCTAAGCAACACATTTTATTTCTTTGTCTTTATCACAGCAGTTTTGTTACAACTAAAAAATGATGTTCTGATGACTGTATCGTTTGACACTAATCAATGTCATCCTGTTTTCCTACAAGCAGAAGGAAGTTGTATGAATTTTAAAATATTATTTTTTATTTTCAGCCATTTGGCATCTCTTTAAAATAAAAAATCTGGTTTTTTAATTTGATGAATGAAATGATTAGCTTCTTATCTCAACATATATCAACATTATTGAGATGATAGACACAGTAAAATCACACTTGAAATTGGCATGCCCCAGTCAGGACTTGAGCCACAGGTCTCTGGATTGCTGGTCCATTATGCTAACCACTACACAACAGTAGCCATTGCATTTTCTTCATGCTAATTGGCCATATGTATTGTGATAAGTGATTATTTATTTTCAGGCTGAACTGATACAGGAGAAGCTTGTAATTTTTGTATGTTCTACAACTGGTCAAGGTGATCCTCCAGATAATATGACTGTAAGTTTATAAAGAGTATTAGAACAAACTGTTTAAACTGAGTGTCTCTATGACCAATTAGTAAACAGGTCCTGACTTTAACACCTGACACTCACTGTGGATTCATTTTTTTTAGAGGAATCTGTCAATGTAGGTCAGTGCTAGTGACCACAGAAGGGCTTAAAATGATGATCCCTGGACACTGAGAGGCAGACACCTTAACCTCAAAGCAATCAATCTTCTTAATTGTCAAAAAAAAAATTAATGTTTTAAAAAAAAATAAAAAAAATGTAGAAAGGGTATTTTCTAATGTTTGAAATTTTATCCTTGTCTTTATTTTGTACTTTTACAAAGATATTCTATATACTTACCCACAGTATAAGTAATATATAGTTCATACTTACAGACATTTTGGCGATTCATCATGAGAAGGAATCTACCTACAGATTCTCTAAACCAGCTATCTCATGCAGTACTGGGACTTGGGGACTCTTCTTATCAAAAGTAAGTTATCACATTTTATTGATGCATAGTGTACATTATACTTAAAAAGTTTACTTGATAAACTGTTATGTAGTTGATGCAAGAAAATTAATATCTATTTCCATTCTAACTTCTAATACATGTAAATTAAATTAAAATATGTTCTATGTTTGAATATATGCCATGCCCAAAGGGACCTTGACCCTTGAAACCTTGACCTTGTGGCCTTGAGCTCATTAATGTCATGCACCTGTGAAGTTGAAAGGCTGTAGGTGGAAGGACTTCCATGTTATGGTCTAGGCAAAAAACAGGCAGATAAATAAACAGACCAAAAACAAAATGCCTTCCTGAGCTATTAATCCATTGGCATAACAATCTATTTATTTTGTTATTATCAACTTCAGGTTTAATTTTGTTGCTAAGAAACTGCACAAGCGGTTGCTGCAACTGGGAAGCACAGAGTTGTTGAATGTAGGACTTGCTGATGATTTACATGATCTAGGGTAAGTTATTGTTTATTACAATGCTGCAGATTTTTAGGATTAATTATAAGTTAAGTGCTGAGGATTTTAGTCAGTTTAAGTGTGTTTTAGTTTTGCTGATGATTTACATGATCTAGGGTAAGTTAAAGTGTAGTGTCTATCTGCTTATCATTAATATGATGTAGCGTAAGTTATAGTGTCTTAATTTTTGAATGATCAAGGCTTAGTTTAAGTGTTTTTAAGTTTTGCTGATGATTTACACAATCTACAGTAAGTTGTAGAGTATAAGTTTATGACAAGGGTTACTTTTCTGTGTAAAACTGATCTTTACTTTTCTTTCATTGTTTCAGAGCAGATGCTGTAGTATATCCCTGGATGGAAAACTTATGGGAGAAACTGTTGGCTATGTATCCTTTAGAAGATGATCAGCAAATTATCCCACCACATGTCAGGTAAATTATCCCTCCAGATTTATTCTGTAAATCATTATAACAATAGTATATGTGTAAAAAAATTTGTATTCACATATGATGTATGCATGTTAGAAATATCCAACAGGTAAAATTATATATACATATACAATATGAGAAACTTGTAAATGGTAGTAAAGTAAGATTTCATACTTTGTTGAGGATATTAATATCTCAGTATTGTAAATAACTCCTAAATCATGTTTATTATTTAGTATGGGGTTTCCTTTCTCTTTTACACTTGTTTATTTCAAATTTTCCTTTATATTTCAGACCAGCTGCAAGATTTAGTGTGACTTTCTGTGATGGGAAAGACAAAATATTAAATGTTGTAACCAATGGAAATATAGAATGTGGCAGGGATGTAAGAGTACCAACCTGGTTCCCAGCTCAACCTTTTCCAGCAAAACTGATCTCAAATGAAAGAGTAACTTCCCCTGATCATTTTCAGGACACAAGGCTAATACGTCTTGATATAACGGGGTCAAATTTTAGGTAATAACTGGGACTGTTAAAAGGTTATGACAGGTTCTATGGGTTATGACAGGTTCTATGTTATTTTAAATAAAGATCAGCTTTAGACAGAAAAGTAATTAGACTATCATGGGAAATATGATAGTTTGAATTATCAGCAAATTATCCCATCAAGGGTGTCCATGGCCGAGTGGTTAAGGTCGTTGACTTTAAATCACTTGCCCCTCACCACTGTGGGTTCGAATCCCAACAGGGACTTGGATTCTTTCATGTGAGGAAGAATCCAGCTAGCTTACGGATCGTCGGTGGTTCTACTCAGGTGCCCGTTCGTGCCTGAAATAATGCACAGAGGGGCACCTGAGGTCTTCCTTCACCAGTAAAGCTGGAACGTCACGATATGACCTATACTCTGTTGATGTGTCGTAAAAACCCAATTAAACAAACAAACAAATTATCCCATCACATGTCATGATCAACATGGTGTAGGTTAAGTTATAGTTTGTCTTAATTTTGCTGATGATTAACATGATTTATGGTAGGTCATGTAATCATAACTTTAGTTTTACTGCTGACGATTTGAATTTTATGTATCGACTGACATAGCTAATACAGCGAAACATGTATTGATATTTAAAATTGTGTTGGTTTTGATCTATTTGTCCTACGTTATATTTTAAGGAAATACTTAATAAAAAAATTGTAGGTAGATGTTTTGTGTGAAAGATTTAAGTTTTGAAATTACGTTGTATTATCAATCTTCACCAATGAAATTTTAAATGATAAAAAAATAGAAAAATATATAATAGGGTTGAGAAAAGTCACTTAATGTCAGTATTACTTTTACGATGTAATTTTATTTTTGCAGTGATAAGATATTACAGAAATGATGTTTTCATTGTTTGATGACATTTACTGGCAGTGATTGTCTGTTTACAGGTATAATCCGGGGGATGTTTGATGACATTTACTGGCAGTGATTGTCTGTTTACAGGTATGATCCGGGGGATGTTTGATGACATTTACTGGCAGTGATTGTCTGTTTACAGGTATGATCCGGGGGATGTTTGATGACATTTACTGGCAGTGATTGTCTGTTCACAGGTATGATCCGGGGGATGTTTGATGACATTTACTGTCAGTGATTCTCTATTTACAGGTATAATCCGGGGGATGTTTGATGACATTTACTGGCAGTGATTGTCTGTTCACAGGTATGATCCGGGGGATGTTTGATGACATTTACTGGCAGTGATTGTCTGTTTACAGGTATAATCCGGGGGATGTTTGATGACATTTACTGGCAGTGATTGTCTGTTCACAGGTATGATCCGGGGGATGTTTGATGACATTTACTGGCAGTGATTCTCTATTTACAGGTATAATCCGGGGGATGTTTGATGACATTTACTGGCAGTGATTGTCTGTTCACAGGTATGATCCGGGGGATGTTTGATGACATTTACTGGCAGTGATTCTCTATTTACAGGTATAATCCGGGGGATGTTTGATGACATTTACTGGCAGTGATTGTCTGTTTACAGGTATAATCCGGGGGATGTTTGATGACATTTACTGGCAGTGATTGTCTGTTCACAGGTATGATCCGGGGGATGTTTAATAACATTTACTGTTATTGAGTCTCTGTTTACAGGTATGATCCGGGGGATGTAGCAGTTGTTTGTCCACAGAATATGTCTGACACCGTAGATGATTTTATATCATACATGAAATTAGACCCTGATACAGAATTTACTTTGCAGCTAAACGACCCAGGTATGATGGTTAGTTTTGTACTACACTACCAACATATCTTTATGAATTGACAACTGTGTAAGATTCTATGCATCTGAAACTAGGATGATTGACAAAGTTTACCATGCTTTATATGCCACCACTCTAGGGTGGTGGAGACTTTTAGATTTGCCACTATCTGTCTGTGCATTTATGTGCTCCATGTTCAAACTTTACAGAAATCGTGATGAGGATGTGAAGTTGTGCACCTTTGGTTTTGATTGTGGATTAATTCAGTTTTAAGCTCGACTATACGAAGTATATGGAGAGCTGTCCTACTCGCCCCGGCGTCCGCGTCCAGATTTTAGATTAAAGTTTTGGTGCAGTAAAATATTTTTCACTATAACTTTGTCATTTCTTCAGGTATCAACTTCAAACTTCAAATATATGTTCCTTATCATCAACCACATCTTATGTGACAAGGTTCATAACTCTAGCACCAATATTTTCAGATTTATCTCCCCTTGAACTTAGAATTTTCCTTAAAAAATACTATTTTTTACTGTTAATTCTTTATTTCTTAAGGGATCAACCTCATACTTCAAATATATGTACCTTATCATCATCCCCATCTTATGTGACAAGGTTCATAACTCTAGCACCAATATTTTCAGATTTATCTCCCCTTGAACATAGAATTTTCCTCATAAAAGTACTATTTCTTACTGTTTCTTCTTTTTTTCTTAAGGGATCAACCTCATACTTCAAATATATTTACGTTATCATCATCCCCATCTTATGTGACAAGGTTCATAACTCTAGCACCAATATTTTCAGATTTATCTCCCTTTGAACTTAGAATTTTCCATAAAAAATATTATTTTTTACTGTTACTTATTTATTTCTAAAGGGATCAACTTCATACTTCAAAATATATTTACGTTATCATCATCCACATCTTATGTGAAAAGGTTCATAACTCTAGCACCAATATTGCAAGAATTATCTCCTCATAAACTTAGATTTTTTTACTAGAAAAATGTTATTTTTTATTATAACTTTTTTATTTTTAAAGGTATCTACCTCAAACTTCAAATACTTATTCCTTATCATCAATTACATTTTATGTGACAATGTTCATAACTCTTGAAGCAATATTTACACATTTATCTCTCTTTGAACTTAGGATTTTCTTTAAGAAATATAATAACTTCTTTACTTTTTAAGATATCTACTTCAAACTTCAAATATATATTTCTTATCATTACATAAATGTTGTGTGACAAGGTCCATAACTCTAGCATGACTATTTCTAGAATTATTCCCCTTGATCTTGGAATTTATGTTAACAAATATTATTTTTTACTAGAACTTATTACATAATTATACATAATTGATTTTTCTTTCATAGTTTTGTCCTCCTTACTGCGTCCAGTATTTTATTAGTCGAGCTTCGCTGTCTCCTGTGACAGCTCTTGTTTAGTCATTGCCTTTGACAGCAATTTTCAGTTTGTGTCACTCATAGCCATCTGTCATGCTGACCTGCTGTACGTCTGTAGACTGACATAACAGTGGAATGTTGAGGCATCTGTGTCCTATAGACACATTTCTAGTTTTTTCAGAAATATTTCATGTAATGCTTTTCCTGTTCCTGATAATGCCTTATCTATCACATATTCAACCATAAACATTTCATTATATCAAGAATCAATATTTTACTTTACAGATGCAAGTTTACCAAAATTACCGGAGCCATGTTCTATAAAATACCTCGTTGAGAACTACCTTGACATAAACGGTGTACCTCGACGTTCCTTCTTTGAGATGCTGCTTTATTTTGCTGACGAAGAGAGGGAGAAAGAAAAACTTGAAGAGTTTACATCTTCAGAAGGCCAGGTAATAGTTTATGCCATAATAAGTAACTCCCTCTAACTAAGACCAACTGCCAAAGTTTTTATGTTTTTTTTTCACTTAATTCAGTGGGTGATATTATTAATTTGATTTTATATGCAGCTTATTGTAGCCCATGGCAGCTTATTGTAGCCCATGGACAATTATGACAGCCATAGCGAAAATACTAACTCTTTTTTATGTAAAATTTAGACCCCTTTTGTAAGCTATCTGTCACACAGGCGAATTATTGTGTTGACAGAATCGAGGGTGGGTCTGAATTTTTACTGGTGATTTGGACTTTTTCCTGTGGCAGCTTGCATTTAATTGCTTGAGTTTTTTTTAAAAGAAATAATGGAATACAGAAAGACTAAAAATTAATATCTTTTAAAATTGCTGGAACTGACAGCCAAACACAGACCCATACTTACATGTTCTTTGCTGCAATCTGACCAGGCACTGTACTGTTTCCTGCCCCTAGTGACTGAGGGGTTGCTCCTACAAGTTGAGGCATCAGAATTTCAGCCACTGTTTAACCCTGGGTTCGAATTATTGCAGTTTATGCAACTTATAGCTCCAGCAGGTGAGGCAGCTTTGCTTTAAGTTTGTAACACCCAAGGTTGGCTAAAATCATCTTCCCAGTTTTGACGCCATATGACCTAAAATGTGTTGTTGAGCGTAAAACCAACCAAACAAATATTGTTTCATCTTGATTTGTCAAAAATCGATAATAGACAGTTCAAAGAATGGAATCGCTTGACAAGTTTAATTAAGAAATTTAGTTGGGTAAAGTTTCAGTAATATTCTAATATGATCATTATTAAGTTACTTTAATCAATGAATTGTCAATTTTCTGAAATCAATGTACATGTATTACTCTATAAATAAGTGTATTTTTTCAGGATGACCTATTTACCTACTGCAATAGAGTAAAAAGAACTTTACTAGAGGTAAGTGGTCAATTTGTTTAAAGACTTTTTGTATTATGGCTTCAGAAAGCATGTATTTAAAGTGGATTGGTCTACAATTGTCCAAAAGTTCAAATACAAATAAAAACAATAGAAATTTATCATGTACTTGTGCCGCTTTTGCGACTCCGTAAAAATGATATACATGTGTTGTATTTTGACTTGACATCAGTTGCATTTTACCAACAAAGAGTCAAGACGTGCTAAATGATAATGGTACACTATAATTGCTTCAATAAAAAGTGATTCTTATTTTTACTGTAAACAGTTCTTATTTTGGATATGTGATAAATAGAATATTATATTTGTGTAGGTTCATAACTAAATTTATTGAACTCTTTGCATAAAATAATATTATGCTCGCCAGAGGCTCTCATAATATAATTTTATTCAATACATTGAACATTTTATAAATTCAGTATTGAACCTATGCTCATTTAATATCTTCTATATATCATTTGGATATTCTTATGAAATACTTCTTATGAAAACAGAATGTTGATAAAGTTTGTACAAGAAAACTGCTACTTATATGTCATATCTGATCATGTATCCAACACTTATCAACAACATCTATATATAGTTCTCTTGTGGTTTGTTTTCATGTATGATAATGAATACTATCAACATAATTATTAATGGTGTTACAGACCTTCCATTATAGACCAATTCACTTTAAGGTATACACTGGAGCCGCGATATAGCGCTCATGTTGGGGTCCATGATCTCAAGACAGCGTTGTAACGAGTAACTTTTTATAACGCTCATTGTGTAATAATAGCGAAAATATCGCATTACCCCACCCACCGCCGAAACATATAACGCTTGTTAGTGGAAATGATTGTTTACTTACCTTCCAATGGATATCAGTCCAAGCTTTTTTATATATTATTATTAATTATTTTGTAAAGCATTACTGAATATCTTTAATATAAACATGAAATTTACAAATTAAAAATATAAACCACGAATGTACAATTGTTTATAAATTTCCAGTAAAACAGCGGTGTTAACGTGTGTTATGTGTGGTCATGAAAATTGATACCTAGTGGATGGGACTAAATTAATCGTCTTTCCTGCTGTCTCTTGTGAAAAAATCAGTCATCCTCAACAACTTTTTTGCCGATAGATCAAAAGTAATTGCTTTTTAAAATTAATTGTACGCTTGGGTGATTTACTTAACTCTTCGGTTTTTGAATGTTTTAGCTAACAGTTTGATACCTGACTGATCAACAGTTCAAAATGAACAAAAGAGCGGATTAACGCTTACCTGTGTATGACTTCACACCTTCTTATCATGAGTGACGTAATTATGACTGTTTATTGCACTCGACTGACACTTTGAACAAGCCTTATAGAGGATAAGGTGGGGTATTGATATACATGAAAAAAAAATTATAATCGGCGAAAAATACGATTTTTTTTTGGGAGCCAAGGCATATGAGCGTTCTACTGAGATTAGCGCTATACCGATGAGCGCTATATCGCGGCTCCAGTGTACTAATTTATTGACATATTTAATATATTGTTATATGATGTATTCTGTTATGTTGTTGTTTTTCAGGTGTTTCATGATTTCCCTCACACAAGTGCCAATATTCCATTTGAATACCTGTTTGATGTGATACCTGTACTACAACCAAGGTCATTCTCTATAGCTTCTTCTATAAAGGTATTTTCTACCATACTGCTTCTTCACATTTGCTCTGCTGCATTTAAGTTGTAAACTTACATTGCTTTAATTTTAGAACAATCCATTTGAAGTTCAAGAGATTTATTAAGGTACCAACAGTATAATAGTTTAAAACCTGGTCAAACTGCACGTATATACAGGCTGGCCTGGCAGTATACTGGTGACAAAGTTATTACTGCTTTTGGTTCCAGTAGGGTAACGGTTAAGTTACAATGGTTCCAGATTTTTAAGAGTTAGAAAAGCAGGACTTGATAGGTACCAGTCAATAATATTATTTTTGATTTAAACATATTCTATTGCCAATAATTCATTGAATGACAGAGTTTTGGGTTGAATAACAAAAACAGTTTTGGTTGACTCACAAAATTTCTCAACATAAGCAAGTGTCTGCCCTGATCATTATATTTAGTGGTATATATTGACAAATTAGTTTAGTAAGACTTAATTTCATGGCAGAAAATTTGTATATTGATAGGTAAAGTTACTCTCTATCATATTGATTCTGCAAATATATGCAGGTAGCTAGCTAATATTAATCTACATTTGACAAAATACACAAGTAAGTTAAGTAGTATAAATTCCCTATAAGAATCAACAACTAAAAGAGATAATGAAGGACAAAATCTTTTGAATAGTTCGTGTTGCTGTAAATTTCACTGTGTCATTCCAGAATTATAAGATACCTGTTATAGTTTCAAAAAAGATACTCATTTGCTTCTCTTGCTTTTAAAAACTAGTTATAACCTATTAGAGATTCGGTATTTTGTATGGAAGTCAAAGACTAATTTGTTTACATTTTGATGACTTTATGACAAATAATTTCACATTCAGCCATACATTCTTTTGGTAATAAGCATTTAACATGTTCTAAAACCGTAATTTAAATGTTATAATATTCATATTTGCCCTTTCTAAAGTTAGAAAAATTTATTTATTTTTGAGGCATAATGTACCTTAAAAGGGAATAGCACCGTATTTACTTTCTAGTATTGTACATGTAAATGTAGGATATATAAAATCTTTTCTTGTCAAGTTACTGTAAAACAGTAATACATACAATAATAAGTCACAAGTAAAACATTTGTTTTGTAGGCACATCCTGGTGAAATACAGCTACTAGTGGCTGTAGTGAAATATAAAACAAGGATTGCGTTACCAAGGAGAGGTGTATGTTCCACATGGTTGTCACAACTTGATCCTGCTCAAATATCACATATACCGTTGTGGATTAAGAAAGGGACAATTAAATTTCCTACAGATAAAACTACGTCAGTTATTATGGTTGGTCCAGGTTGGTCTTTAAGTTTATTTTTATGTAATTTCCATGAATTATTTACTATAACGTTATAACAACTTAAAATAAAATGCATTTTTTCTCATTAGAACGCAGCAAAATGAAATGGTTATTTGTATTTTTTTTCTCAAGGCCCCTCAAAAGTGATCAAAATGCCATATTCAATTTGCTGAAGTAATTATTTAATTTTATACTAAATTGTTAAAGGAACTTCACCCTAAAAACATAAAATTTGAATTTCTTACATAGGTCAATGGGGGTACTTAAACAGAAAAATATTTAAAAGGTTATTAGGAAATATACTAAAAAATAGATTGAAATAGAAACATTGTACTATTTATATTTCGATTTGAGTGAGGAGCATTTTCACATTGGAATAGGAAAAACAGAGGAAGCAAATAACTGAAATTTTGCACACAATTTACTTTTCTAGACCGTTATCAAATGGAACATTAATCTCGGAAAATTATTTCCAAGCTCATCATGCATGTAAAGAAAACCTCAGTGGAGTCCTTTTGACACAAACTACCTTTAACTTTTATACTGCTGAAATTATATCTAGTTACAAATAAAGTATAATTATTTTTTCACAGGTACTGGAGTTGCTCCATTTAGAAGTTTTATAGAAGATAGAGTATCAGCAAATGTTCCAGGTAAATATTGATCTGATTATTTTTGAACTTTCACTTATTTGTTTTTGAGACAGCTTGTGTTGAATTCTTTTTGTTGAGGAAGCTATCTATAGACCTTACAAAGTGTGTATTCTACCCACAGTCTATCTTTACTGGAGTAATAGTAATGCCAAATATAGTTCTGGCTTCCAAAACTTTATAAGCCGCTCTTTAACATTTTTGTTTTTCATCTGATGCGGCATTAAAGTTTTGGATTAGAGTCCCGTTACGAATCCTAACCAGAATAACATTAGTTGATTTATTCTTGTTTTTCACTTGCAAATACACTTGACCGAATCAATTCTTGTGCATTTTACGATAAAACAATTATTTTAATATCATTATATACCAATTAAAGTATGAAAATATTAATACCGTCATTAAAATTGCCTATTTAACTGTAAAACATCAATTTACGCCGACTACAGTCGGCCATGACATTCAGGTGCCACGCGAGACCTCGTATGACGTCATTCGCGGGAACAGATTTGAATAGAGTCGTGTACTATATTTAGAACATTTTGTTGACATGATTTCAATATTTTTATTCAAGATAATGTTTTTATTTATTTTCATAAATTTTTCAGTACTTAAATATGATTTTATTGAATATAAAAGTCAGTAAATCACCTTTTTCAATATCTTTAAAAAAAGTAATGTATAAAAATATTGGAGGCACATGGGTTCATAAAGGTCAATCTCGTAATCACGTGGTCAAACATTTTGGCAATATGGCGGCCAAGTGCCGAAATTTTTACCTGTCGGAAACTATTAGGTAGTTTATGTTCCTAATAAGATTTTTATTTGTCCATCCTTGGCTTATCAACAGATTATATATAGTTTTATCAAGGTATGCTTTACTTTACTTCATGGCATGTTCGATGAATAAATACGAGCGTGTCAGATTCCTGGCACGATTATTGGTGGACTTTCCCTACGGGGTTATCTTCAGCGTTCACGTCATGTCATAGTATATAAACGGGTACGCTGAAGACCTTAAGCTATGCCAAATATAGCCCTACTTCACTTTGTCAAGTTAAAATTGGTCCTTTTGACCTGAACAGCAATCCTAAGAAAGTACATGTATGCTTTATAACAATTTAAAATTTATTCGTCATGAAATTGCTTATATTGTTGTGTATGCTGTTTTCCAGGATCAGTGTTATATTTTGGCTGCAGGTACAGCACTAAAGATTTCTATTTTCAAGAAGAATGGAAGGATTATACTGATAAATCACTATTAAAATTGTATACAGCTTTCTCCAGGGATAATGAGGTGAGTGGTTTACTCTTTATCTGCTGAATTTGTTTCATGGATTTGCTGGGCTTTTATTTTGGAACAATCAATTAAAAGTTTAAGGGATAAAATGTTGCTGATGTGCAGGCTGGCCTTGCACTATACTTGTAGCAAGTATAATAACTTCCAATTTAAGCAGGTTTTAAAGGATTGAAATTATCTTAAGTCATGTCAAGTACCTTTGCAGAAAAACTAATTATGTTCACTAAGAATCACTAGTTCTTTAATGTTAGATCTCTATAGCTTAGTGCTTAAGGACTCTAACTAACCTACTCCTCAATATTGTGTGTTTGAATTCAAAATAAATATTGTGTCATATTGTACCTTGTAACATTATGATTATTATGACATTATTTTCACCTTTTTTCAGGATGCAGATAGATACTATGTACAACATGCTATCAGAGACAGTGGTGAATCTGTGTGGAATCTTCTTAAACAAAATGCCTGCTTCTTTATTGCTGGGTATAGGAATATTTTACTTCTATCTAGTTTGCTTTATTAAAAATAGAATACTAAATTTCAATGGGTTACAGTTAACTAATATTTCCTGGATGCAAATGTTATTATTATTGACTTTATTGTTTATGTATGTAGCTTCCAATTGGTAGTCAGTCTAAAGACATTAGGGTTGCAATATTAAGTCCTGGGTGTGGCTCCCATTTTGGACAACTTGATAGATAACAATGTGTCTAAAATTGTTCATCATCCACAACCTGTCAAAAGATAAAATTAGAATTCAGTTAATTCTTTAAGTTTGTTTTTTTTGGAGGGTGGGGGGGGGGGAGAATAGATAAGTTCTTACAGAGAATAAGTGTGAGAAAAAAAATAGCCACCATTTACAAGTTGATTGTAATTTTCAGGCATGGAGGACTTTGTTTTAAAGAATTATTCTTTAAAAGAAGCTCCTTTCTACAAAAAAAAGATCATTTTAAGGTTTTGAATTTTTTATTAGAGTTTATGTGTTACAAGATAAAAAAATATGCAACTATCTTTTGATATCAATTTTATAAAAGCGAGGCTAATAAAATTGATATCAAAAGATAGTAGCATTTTATTCTCTATGAGTCTGCTGTCTTGTGAATTATATTGTTGATACATCTTGTTAAAGGAATGCCAAGAATATGCCAGATGCTGTTAGAGAAGAGGTTAAGAGTGTGATAATGAAGTATGGACAATTATCACAGGAGGAGGCCCAGAATTATATGATGAAGATGGACCAAGAGAAACGATATCAAGCTGAAACATGGTCCTAAAACACTTTATGATATATGAGTAGTCAAAAATATTGAGAATAGATTTCCGTGCTAGTCGTTGGTGTAAGAATTCGATCAGAGACCTTTTCTCTATATTTATTTATTTGTTAACGAATGTATCAAGCTGATTTTTGTTTATCAAACTAATTATGTATATTTTAAATAAATACATTTGAAAAAGGATTATTTCTATTTTTGTGCCCCCCGGCATGTAGTAATTGAACCGGCCATCCGTCTGTCCGCTCTCACTGAAATGACGGTGTGGGGTGGATATCCATGTTCAATCCGTACAGACGGTACTTGTGGGGAAAAAGGTTGCTTATGGGGTGCAAATACGTTGCTTATGGGGTTTTAGAGATCAAAGGAGATCAAAGAAAAAAGCCCATAATGTCAACTCAGTAGGAACGTCCGTCCATCTGTCTGTCCGTAAGAGGTTAACCTAGAACGGCAAGTTGGATTTTTCGTAAGTTCTACTTGTACCAATGGCTTCTTTGTTTACACACTTACTAATCAATACAAAGTACATGATCTGGTCAAGTTACATAACTATGGCTTCCATATTTACGAAGTTATTGCCCTTTTCAGCACTTAGAAAATGAATAATGGTTAACCTAAAACGGCAAGTTGGAAATATCTTAAGTTCTATCTATACTAATGGCTTCATAATTTCCACACTAACTTATCAATACAAAGTACATGATATTGCCAAGTTATATAACTGTCATCCATATTTCCCAGTTATTTCCCTTTTTCACTTTGAAAATAGGGCCTTGTCTGGTTAACCTATTCCGGCAAGTTGGATTTATCGTAAATTTCTCTTAATTGCTTAATTTATTTAATGATATCTTGCATATTTGGTAGGTGGATACCTTTAATGGTCCTCTAATTTTTTGTGGAGTAAGTGGTCTCTAGGGTCAAGGTCACTGGCTTAGAAAATAAATTTCAACATTTTTGCTCATACACCCTTTATTTTTTGGTTGATGTCTTTCATGTTTAATACAAACATGCCAAGGGAGGTCCTCCTTCTTTGGGTATAGTAAGGGTTCCTTTGGGTCAAGGTCAATGTCACCAATATCAAGGTCACCAATGTTAAAAATAGATTTTTACAGGTGTATTAACCATATTCTATAGACAGATGTCATTTATAATTGATAGGAACATAAAATTTGATGGAGTTAGTGGTCAGTTGGGTCAAGGTCACCAGTGCTAAAAATAGATTTTTACACTTTTGCTCATACAGCCTTTATTTATTGACAGATATATTTCATATTTGGTAGGAAGATAACTTGCATGGTATTCATCCTTTTGATTGGGGTAGGGATCAGTGGGTCAAGGTCACTTGTGCTAAAAATAGATTTTTACACTTTTGCCCATACAGCCTTTATTTATTGACAGATATATTTCATATTTGGTAGGAAGATAACTTGCATGTTATTCTTACTTTGGATGGAGTTAGGGGTCAGTTGGGTCAAGGTCACAAGTGCTAAAAATAGATTTTTACACTTTTGCCCATACAGCCTTTATTTATTGACAGATTTATTTCATATTTGGTAGGAAGATAACTTGCATGGTATTCTTCCTTTGGATGGAGTTAGGGGTCAGTTTGATCAAGGTCATCAATGCTCAAAATAGATTTTAACATTGTTGCCCATACAGCCTTTATTTATTGACAGGTTTATTTCATATTTGGTAGGAAGATAACTTACATGATATTCTATAGGTGTCAATGGGTCAAGGTCAAGGGTGCCAAGTATAGATTTCTTACATTTATATATATTTGATAAAGTTGAATATTTATCACTTCACAAGTCATAGCAATGACTTGGCAACTTATATATTTCACAATTACAAAATGCCATGACTCTGTCAAGCTATATAACTTGTGTTTACAATTTTTTGGCAATGTTTCTGTCCATAACCGAGTGAATGGGTAAACATTTTTTGAAATATTGCTACTGACAAGAATCGGAGCCGGGGGCATTTGTGTTTAACAAACACATTCTTGTTCTTGTTTTTAATTTTATTTATTTATTTTATTATTTTTTAGCTCACCTGAGCATATGCTCCGGGTGAGCTATTAGGATCACGCGTCGTACGTCGTCCGTTGTCCGTTCACACTTAAAACGACATCTCCTCTATAACCATAACGCAGATCATAATGAAACTTTACAGGCATGTTCCATGTGTGAAGCCTTAACAAAGTTGTTCAAAGAATTTCATTCCATGCAGAACTCTGGTTGCCATGGCAACCAAAAGAAAAAACTTTAAATATCTTCTTCTAAAAAACCCAAAGAGCTAGAGCTTAGATATTTGGCATGAAACATCTTCTAGTGAGTGTCTACCAAGTTTGTTAAAATAAAAGCCCTGGAGTCAAAATTGGCCCCGCCCCAGGGTTCATTGATTTTCCCTATATGCATATAGTAAAAACTTAAAAAATCTTCTTTTAAAGAATCCAAAGAGCTAGAGCTAAGATATTTAGCATGAAACATTTTCTAATGGGTGTCTACCAAGTTTGTTCAAATAAAATCCCTGGGGTCAAAATTGGCCCCGCCAAAGGGGGTCATTGATTTTCCCTATATGCATATAGTAAAAACTTCTTTTAAAGAACTCAAAGAGCTAGAGCTAAGATATTTAGCATGAAACATGTTCTAATGAATGTCTACCAAGTTCGTTCAAATAAGAGCCCTGGGGTCAAAATTGGCCCCGCCCAGGGGGTCATTCATTTTCCTTATATGTTTATAACAAAAACTTAAAAGATCTTCTTTGAAAAAACTCAAATAGCTAGAGTTTAGATATTAAGCACGAAGCATCTTCTAGTGAGTGTCTACAAAGTTTGTTCAAATAAAAGCCCTGGGGTCAAAATTGGCCCCGTCCCAGGGGACATTGATTTTCCTTATATGTGTATAGCGAAAACTTAAAAATGTTCTTTGAAAAAACCTGAATAGCTAGAGTTCAGATATTAAGCATGAAACATTGTCTAATAAGTGTCTACAAAGATTGTTCAAATAAAAGCCCTGGGGTCAAAACTGGCCCTGCCCTATGTGTGTCATTGTTTTTAACTATATGTGTAAAGAAAAAAAACTTGAAAAATCTTCTTTTAAAAAACCCAACAAGCTAGACCTTAGATGTTTAGCATGAAACATCTTCTAATAGGTGTCAACTAAGTTTGTTCAAATAAAAGCCCTGGGGTTTAAACTGGCCCCGCTCCGGGGGCCTATATACAGGTGAGCGACTTTAGGGCCATCATGGCCCTCTTGTTTTTTTTGCTATTAATATTTAAACACGAATTGACCATTGAGATTTTATTGACACTTGATGGTTTATATATATATATCATATACGTAAAAATTGTTCAAATCGTGTTTAAATATTAAAATATTTTTGAGTGTTTACAGGGGCAGGATCTGACCCCCAAGAGTCTGTGTTTTGGATAGTTACACGTTGTCACAATTCTTTTTATTTACGTGAGGATTTGATTCATATGTAAGCAAAACAACAATTGTGACCAAACAGACATGTGGAATAATTTAGATATGACTTTTAAAAGACCTTGACTAGACCTTGAATAAAGTTTGATTTTATTTTCTTAACTTTTTAATCTTTTATTTATTGAAAGGATTCATGCTAGGACAAAACAACAAGTGTGACATACAGACCTATTCAAATTAAGAAAGGAAAAGCTTCTTTTGTTTAATTTTCTTTTTAAATAATATGTTAAACCGTTAGTTAGTTTGTTTGTTTACTTTAAGAAAAAGTAAAAAAGTTGAGTGTTGCCCCCGCCCGGCGGTGGCTCTTGTTTATATCAGGATCATCGCTTTTACTGTGTAAAATGAACCCATAAGGAAAAGCGTGCCAACGTTTCAAAACGGGCTTAAATCGTATATAAAAATCGTTTTTCAATTGAAGTCTTTAGCATTTTCTCTATTTTTACTCTTTACAGAATGTTACATTTTAAAGAGGTTTTGTTGTTGTTGTTGTTGTTGTTTTTTGTTGTTGTTTTTTACCTCTGTGGAGCTCCTTTAACTGCATAGAGACTGGAATTTAACAATAGAAAGTGTGAAATAACGGTAAAATGAGCTGAAAATAAGCATTTTTTTCTAAAATAATTATAACAGAAAATGTGATAATGATAATATAAGGTATGTTATATTTTAAAAGAAATTCGATGCACTGTAATGCAATTTTCACGTATTGATTGGCTGCCAGTCAGATATTTTTGTATAGCGTAAATTTATATCTTTCTTTAGATTTCTATAGTATAAAGAGAAGAAAAAAGAAGAAAAGGCCAGTTATTTACATTACTTTATGCAGAGTCTTTCAAATAGAAAGTCCCTGCAAGCTTCATATCAATGCTTTAATTGTAATTAAAGCCGTGTGTAAATAGAACTACAGTTCAACAATAACGTTTAATATATGTTTGAAAAATAACATAAAATAAACTGATCGATAATTGTTTTATGCTTTAAATTTGTTTCGTGGCTGATGAAATATCACTATTTAAAGCGTAAATTGCTGGAAAATAAAATACAATCATTGATATACTATAAATGGCAAGCAGCTATAAATGTATCGATCTTTAACCTACTCGTTGTAGATATATTTGGAAGTTTCGTTGGCACAAAAGATGTTGACCTAGATATTTTAAGGTAATTTTAGCAAGTTATTGTAAATATAGACAGATGGCTCAATATTTTTAACGGCTACTGGATGAAATATCCAGTGTGCTTTGTTTTTGCATGTATATGACTAATATCGGTATAATTATGTTGGCCGTGCCGGGAAGTATGCAACGGCGAGTTACTTTGTATATATTGTATAGTAAACGAGTGCTGGATAGTAATTTTGTTCATGGTGATCAAGGTGTGATTATTTTATGATAAATTGACAATATTCATTTACACATTTATGTAAGGTAAACTATTTAAACATATTTAGATTTTTAAGGAAATGTCATAAATGAATCAAGTACTTAGTGTTGAAAATTGAATATTTCTAGGGCTAGGAGCAATTTTGCACCAATTTTTAGCCCATCGGAGAGGGCAGCAACATTATTTTTTTCTCCATAAAGCATATAAAGTTTTCAGTGGACTACCGTGACATCACAAAAAATCTTCCTACATACATATTCAGTTTCATTCAGTTAATAACGGAGTACGAATTAAATTAAAAGGTCAAATTCTGGCAGATGACCCGGGGACCGTACTCTCAGCGCCTGACAGGGCGGATTGACCTTCATGAAGCCTAGAACACACACGCACACACGCGCGCGCGCACACACACACACACACGCACACACACACACACACACACACACACACACACACACACACACACACTTTTAACGAATTTCCAGTTTCCATATTCTTTTATTAACGTGCCACAAGCAAACAAGAGTATTAGACGCAATTTTAAGCTTTACATCCATTTGAATTTCAGATAAGAGCAATTACTTTATAGAAGGCAAAGATGGGAAATTGCTTCAGAAAAACAGACTACCTTGAATCATATTTGAACCGCGTGTATGAAGAGAAATGTGCTTTCCTGGCATCGGATGAAGAAGTTGAGTTTATCAAGACGGGAATAGAAACTCTTGCAAAAAATATGGTTGGGTCTATTCAACAAAATCTTATGAAAGATGATGTAAATCTTAGCGATAAAAAAGGTTTACAAAAAAAACTACAAGATGACAAAAATGCAGATATTGATTTGTTAAAGACTGAACATATCAGTATAGAACTCGATAATGTAAGAAACAAAAATGATTTAATCAAAGTTGGAAGCTTTTATGACGGGACAAAGAATACATTTCCTGATGAGTTTGACATCATCTTCTTAGTTAGCAGATTAGATGGTCACCATCCCATTTGTAGTTTGTTTGAGACATTCGATGACACTTTGAAATATATTTCTCCTGATGAGCATTCTAAGAGGGAACTTTATTTTGACAAATATTTGGGACAACACGGTCCAGCATTTATGTCTCAATTTATTTACAAAAATGACCCTACTAGTAAATTTTCGACATCTAAAATACCCATTCATGTTGATCTTGTTCCAGCCATCAGATATGTTACCAGTGGTGATACAAACAGAGACGAGTTCAATGAAATTGTAAATAATGTCAACCCTAAATCATTCCGCGAAGAAGTATTGAAGCGAGGCGACTGTCTCAGGATAAATACTGTATTAGGATATACATTCACAGATACTGAACTACACTTCATAAAGAACGTTATATCACCAAAACATGTAAAAGTATTGAAAATACTGAAATTTCTCATAAATGGAGATGGGGATGATAAAATACTGGAATATGATTTAAATTTGAAAAATGAAAATGTTGGCTATTCATCTTATCAGATTAAATTTAAATTGTTTTAAATCATAACGGGAAAAGGGCGAAAATGGGGAGAAGGTATTTTGAAAGATTGTGTTATAAGATTTTTCAAGGGGGAATTTTGTAACCAAAAGGGTTTTAAAACCCCCACACTTTGGACTTACCGGGCCAATTATTTCCCTCGTACAAGAATCTAAAATGTTTTTTGGGGTTTACGGGGGGACGTTTTTTTCAAAACCCTTGTAAACAGATGAAGTTTGGGGACAATTGTTTTTTACATTTAAATTTTTTTTAATGCCGGGGTCGTGGGGTTCTATCAAAAATTTCATAGGATGTGAGAATTGGTTTGTTGGCAAGGAAGAATAGCCTTTGGTGGAGTGTTGAAAGAAAGACGGGGTGTATTTGATTTATTAAGGTTACAAAAATTATATGAGAAAATCCATACAATTCCATCTAATGAAATTTAGGACACAACTAGATATTGTTACAGGATACAGAGGTATAATTCCTGATTATGAATATTTCAAGTTAAAATGCAGAATATCAAATTGTGGCTGAGATTCTAATAATATAATTTTATTCAAGTTGTTTAATAGATTCAATTTTCACCTGCACTTATTCAATATTCTCTATTATATGATGACATTTGTTGAAAACTTTTGTCCCTCGTTATCTGTACAATGTAATTACAAAATGATATATGTATAATTGTGTAGGTAAATGATGTGTGTGCGTGCGTGTGTTTGTGTGTGTTTTTATACTAGCCACTGGCGAGTCCATCTTGAAGAGTATTAGTCATTAAATATTTTGCAGGATAATGCCAAGTGTTTCAGCACTCATACACAAGACCACGATTTTAAGTCTGAAAGACTGATATAAAAAGTTAAATCTGCAATTCTGATTAAAGTCAGCTCCTAAATTTTTACGCCTTAAGAAATAAGTAATCTGATCTTTAGTCAGATTTAAACGGTTAACATTCCCAGCAAATTATTTTTCATTTAACCTTCCCCACACTGCTTGATTGGTTGGTGGATTTTGCCCTGTCTTGAAAATATTTAATTTTAACAAATAGGATTTCATTATCACCAATATCAGTATTAATATTGTTTGCGGTCCCCCTGTCCTTCTTGGTAAATGTCTTTATTCTAATAGCAGTATTCGTAACTTCAGAAAATGGTTCTTCTTGGGTTATAGAGCTTCTGGTATTTCCCATATAATTTATATGACGGACTCGGACGGACACCAAGCGATCACAAAAATTCCTTCAGATTGGGCTATCCGAGGATGACTCCGCATCAGTTTATTGTTTTATTTTGGATGATATATAAAGGGTATTTAATATAAAACTTCTCAAGTAACAACCAAGACAATTTCAAGTTAACGATGTTTAATTTAACGGACTCACCGTAATGAACTATATATATATTATTTAATCTTGAACAAATGCTGTATAATTATTATTAAATAATTAAAGTCTGCTACTTATATATAGTATTATCAACAATCTAAATATAATTATCCGAATTTTATATTACTTCGGTTAAAATGATGTATATCTCTACAGTGACGGCTGTTAACATAGCATCAATTAATATTTCAAATATCGACTTTACCGCGAACAAACTTTATAAATATAGATCTGTGTGCGTACGTTGGGAGGTGTCGGCAACTTAATACAATAAAATTCACAATAAAAATATTACTTATAATGGAAATTTCATCTTAAATATACTATACTCATGTACTCTTTGTAAAATAAATCTATAACAACTGTTTAAACTTTCAAAGAACTCTGAAGTTTCTATGCTTAACTTTATTGCAACAAATACTCTTTTAGAACAAAAATTATTACTTTAATCTTTATTAATAATGCTTAAGTATTTAAGAAAATATGCTATCAAAATTACCAAAGATATAACTTGTAAATAATTTCTTAATAATATCTGAATGAGCTTCTGCTTCTAATGTTTTGATCTGAAGCGGAGTGACTTCCGACAGGAAAACTGCTCTTTTTATAGTCAAGATTCCTACACTGTCCCACACTGTGGGAGACTTTAAGAAAAGTGTAAGGAAAGGCTTCTAAAGGATTTCCTACAGATCCAACACCTCCCACAACTTACATTAAAGATAAAAATACAACATAATAAAAAACAATATATTTAAACACATATTACATTAAGCTTATTAATTATTGGAATTAATAAAACATGAAACAAATGAAATATCGTTTATAATGTGTAGAGATATGAAATTTTAAGATTAATAAATTAAATGTAACCCCACTTTGTACCCCACAGGTAAAGAAAAGTTTTTTCACAAGATGATGATGTCATAAATCAACTAATGTGTGACGTCATATTTGTAAGCAAACAAAATGGCGGAATATCAATACAATGGTTACAAGTTAGAAATGTTCTTCTTTGAATAGAGGGATAATTAATAAATCTAACGGTAAAATTACTCGTGAAATTATAAAGTTAATGTATCTCTTTGACTTTATGATAAACTTTGAACTTAGTTAAAAGAGTTTTTTATTGATAAACACACTGTTTATTTAAAACAACAGTTCATAAAAATGGGGGGGAGTGGCACATCACATTACCCCCGCCTCAGAGAGGCAAAGTTCCAACTGCCTCAAGACAATACATCAGGAATAAAAATAACAAGTATCCCCTAGTTCAAAGTTTGTCAATATTTCTTATTGTACGGCATCCACTCTCTGCGCCTATTCCAACCACTGTAGTATCTCGAGTTGTTGTGTTGACCCTTTACGTTAAAGTGTTGACGTCTACCGGCTTCTCTGTTCTCCCCTCTGTTCTCCCCTCTGTTTTCCTTTTCCTCGTTTCTCTTATCCTTTATATTACTCTGTTCTTTCGACACTACTCCTTTCCTCTCTCCTAGACTCCTTTTTCATTTTTTTCACCATTTTCTTCCTTACTCTTCTTAACTCCTGTAACACTCTTTTTCTCCTACATCACTCCTTTTTTTTCTACATCACTCTTTACCTCCTTTCCATCTCTACTATCTTTCTCTTTCTTCAGTTCGGCAACTTCTTTTCTAAGTTCATCAACTGTTCTTTGTAATTTGTTTATCATTTCGGCGTTGGATATGATTTGACTACCAATGATGTTCCCTGTTCTCTTTACCATGTCGCACATTATCTTGCAGAATTTGTTTTCCCTTTTTTTCCCTCTCGTCTTCACTTGATGATGACTCGTCACTAGATGATGAGCTTAGATGATGACGAGCTTACCGGATCTGTTTCGTTTTTAAAGAATGTCTTACTCTTTCTCTTGATCTCGGCTTACTAAACTATGTTGGATTCTTCTGCATTCTGCTCCTCTAATTCCTCTCTAGGCACTTCTGAACTTCTCTCTTTATCACCAGGTACTACTTCATTATCAATCATCTCATTTCTATTACTATCATCTGCCTCATTCTCAACTTTTTCGACTACTTCTACATCTCTCCTTCTAACTATCCTCAGATCTAATGCCTGCTCTTCGCTCGTTTTCAACTCTTATAACCGCCTCCACCACCTCATCTTTCTTCTCTTCCATCTTCCTGCTTACCGTTAAATCAAGCGCCCCTGTCTCTACCCACGTATCATTATCATCATTAACCACAGGTACCTCTCCCAACAAACCCTCCACTGCTCTCTCTGTCTCATTCTCTAAAATTTGAATTTCTGGTGAAGCGACTATATCTGCCTCTTTGCATGGCTATTTCCAATATATTATCTTTATTCCTAGGGAACTCTTTCTTCACCCACCAGTTCATACTTTCATCCTTAGACAACATTTCTATGTCTTTCTCCGATACAATGTAGGGGTTCATAGATGATACAAGGAACGGTCTAGAATGTTTTACGCCTTTCTCTATCATAACATTCCTATGCCTAGCATAACTATCGACGTGTGCCAACAAACCATCCCGAGTTCGACTTCTGAACAGACAAAGCCTACACCAGTGCGGCTGCTCATCATTAGAGACATGATACTTGTACACGTGGTCTTCCAAACGCTGCTTGGTGTTGATCTCAGTCTTTCCCTTTCTTCTGGCAATGTCTGCATCTATATGCTCTACCCTCTATGACTTGCTTTCTCCATGATACTGCAAAAATAATGGCAATGATAAGCAAACATTTATAATACGTTGCCATTAAAGTCACCGACACCTCTTTCGCGTGAAATGTTGTTTTCTATCGTATTGCGAATCAATGACCATATATATAAACTTCGCATAATTGACATCTCAAAATGACTTCTAATTCGACATTTTGCTTCGGAAGATAGAGGGTTTTCTCTTTTCAAAACGCGGGCGCTTCCTCAATAAAACTTTTTACATAGTAGAAATTAAACGCTTGACCGAATAACGAAAAGTTGGAGAATCTTGATAGAAAAAAATATGAAGATTTAATTATCTTTTCTCAGTTTTAATCATATGAAGAAACAATAATACATTTATAACAATATGTTCAAGCAATGTATCAATGAAACTTTTTTTCTAGGCATTCTGATCATCTGATATCTTTTTACGAGCTTTAGCTATCCATCTTGGAGCATTGTTTCCTTCATATGGTTTTAGCTTGTTATGGTGAACCACCTTTTCCTTACCATGTTTATCCATTTGAATAACAAAATTGATATCAGACATTTTCTTCTTCACCATAAAAGGACCATCATACATCGGCTCTAATTTGTGACTTACACCGACTTTTCTGTTCTCCAGTAAACACCATATGACATCACCTTCAGAGTACGCATTTACCATCAACTTCGCATCATAGATGTCCTTACTTCTATCAGCAGATTCGCCTATAGTGTTTCCTCGCAATTTTGTGTGCATGCTGCATCTTTTCGCGAAGATTATCTATGTAATCACCATATGAGGTGACCTCTTTTCCTTTTTTGTGGTCAAAACTCCCATAGACCAACTCTGCTGGTAGTCTTATTTCTCTTCCCATTGTAAGTAGGTTGGGGCTAAAGTTTAGTTGTTTCGTTGGGAGTTGCCCTGTATGCACCAGCAATACAACCTTAATTTA